CTAAGGGGGAACACCTGTGCCGTAATCAGCCCCAGGTACGGGGTGTCTGGGAAATGTAGTCCATGAACATTAGTACTCGGGAGAGGGTGCCCTCCGGAGGCCATCGGAGAGAGCCACAGAGGCCTGATTCGTGACATGGCCTGATTCACTGATATCATATAGAGTCTTATTTTTGGTTATATGGGTTATTAGTCTTACATTATTGAATATAGTAGTCATGTGATTCTATAGCATGTGATCCACCAGTGTTATAACGATATGAAGAATTGAATATTGTGCACAAAAAGTTTGTCAGTTACTTATTTTTTCTTCAAACATAAACAGACATTAAGATTCAGCTGATTAATCTCAAAAATGGTGACAATAAAAAAAAGCTTCATGTTGCAGTGCATGATGGGATCACAACTCACCCAGCATGTATTGCAGCATGAATAAATTATGCAGCTGAATTGCCTTAGCATTTTCTTTTATTCTTACTATCTGCTTTTATTTTTGCTGTTGTTTCTGTTGTGACTTTTTAGTAGTTTGTTTTGTGATGTTCAAAGTTTTATCTGAATATTTTGTTGCTACGATCATTTTTTTAAACATAAAATCTTTCAGACTATCTGTTTGTCACTACTAGCTCATGACAGTGCTATTATAACCCAAAAAGTAAAAAATATTTAACTGTCCTCATACAAATAATGCCAGGAATTTATCGGAGATTATCAGGCTATAACATGATGATTCTGTCATCGGTAATACATAGCCATCATCACCTGATCACATGTTCTCTCTGACTTTATTGTTATAACAAATGCATTTTATAAACACAGTTACAACAGTGAAAGAAAGTTTAACTTCAGAAAGTCAAGGGTCAAGAGCCCAACTAAAGCAAACGCCACAAATCATCACAATTGTAACATCAAACGAAACAATAATACATCAATATCTAAACCTTAAAGGGGTCATATGATGCAATTTCAAATTTTCCTTTCTCTTTGGAGTGTTACAAACTGTTCGTGCATAAATAAGATCCCTAAAGTTGCGAAGACTAAAGTCTCAAACCCAAAGAGATATTCTTTATAAAAGTTAAGACTTGTCCACGCCCTCCTAAAATGCCTCGTTTGAACACGCCCCCACACGTCTACATCACTGTGTGATGTACAAGATTTGGATAACACCACCCAAATGTTCACACAAAGAAAGAAGGCATAACTTTTATAGAGGAAATACATCAACTTCACGCTGTGGATTGCCGGATTGGCTTTCACCGTGGACGAAGCAGAGTCCAGCCCAGGGTCGTCACATCCCGGGGTCGTCACATCTTTCGTCGAATCCGCTGGTCGTTCCTCACTCAAGCCGGCTGTGTGTTTCGTTGTGAAAGCGAAACTACATTGTTTGGCCTACCAAAAGAGGACACAACTAGAAATTAGTGGTTAAGTTGTATTTACAACACTGTTCCAGAACAGTTCAACCCAAATATTCACATGTGTGCAGTGCATTTTATGGAGGACTGTTTCCTGATCCTGCAGAGTAGCCTACAATGCGTCTGTGCACAAAGGCTGTTTCTATAAAGTGGGGCAGTTCCAACTTTGCAAGGACAGTCTGGCGCTTCTGACTCAGCCTGTAAGTACGTTTTTTATATTTAAATTATTTGCCAGAAAAGTGGCCTTAGTCCTCCGTGGCCTTAGCCCTTTCTTGGGGAAAATTAGGAATTCTGGGTGGCGCTCTGGGGGAGCGTGCACTGGGGGGTGCTCTGGAAGAGCGGGCCCTGAAGGGCACATACGAGGAGTACGCTATCCTCTTTACATGACAGAGACAGGACAAAGAAACTGAGAAAAGGCAGGGCTATTTATACAAAACCAAACGATGGACTAATAAGATGATTAATGCAACACAGGTGGAAACTAATGAATGCTGATTAAATGAGAACAGGAACTGAACCAATTAAGGGCAGACAGGAACTAAACAGAAACAAACACGTGACACATACATATTACTACTGTATTTTTTGCAGTAAATTACTTCAATCACAGTTGCCAGTTTTTTTTTACTGTAAATGTAAATTCAATGCCGTAAAACATTTATATTGTTACAGTAGAGAGAGCAGTAAATGCTACAATAAGTTTCCTTTTTACAGTGTACTTAAAAAATCTGTACATATGCAACAGTATTTCACTGTAAAATTACATGAACTGTCCCATGAGATCTATTACAATTTTTCACCGAATATGGTAAGGGTACATACTGTTAACCAATTAACAGTACTTAATTTTTTCCATTGCATTTTTACAATCTTTTACCATTAAAATGATGGACATGCCGTAAAACATTTATATTGTTACAGTAGAGAGAGCAGTAAATGCTACAATAAGTTTCCTTTTTACAGTGTACTTAAAAAATCTGTACATATGCAACAGTATTTCACTGTAAAATTACATGAACTGTCCCATGAGATCTATTACAATTTTTCACCGAATATAGTAAGGGTACATACTGTTAACCAATTAACAGTACTTAATTTTTTCCATTGCATTTTTACAATCTTTTACCATTAAAATGATGGACATTTTTTTACATTGTAATGGAATTATGGGTAATCCTCACATTCAAAAGTGCAAAACTTGTGGGTGCGGAACATTTTCACAGAATCTTTGTTGTGAGAATTACAGCAGAAATACCAAAGGAAATATCAGAATCAATATAGGAGGACTTTGAATATTGTTTTAGATGGGGGGGGTATTGAGAAACTGTGATTAAAACTCACTCAGACCAGTCACATGTTTGACTAGTTCTGGCCCATCCTTATATGATCATTGTATTTTTTGTCTTCAGGTTGAATTCTGAGCATTTTTGCTCCAATCCCAAAGACAAAACTTTTGTAACTATGCTCACTTTAGTTGGGTCATTTAGAATGAATTCTGTGCTTGCTTGACCAAATCAGATGGAATGTATAGGTCAGCAGACAGCTTCTTCTTCTTCTTCTTCTTCTTCTTTTTTTAAACAAACTTTTCATGGTTACAAACCATGGTTTGATTATGTCATGGTTCACACTGGGAGCAAGGGAACGAAGGAGCGAGGAGACGAGGAGTAAAACAAATTCCAAAGTCTTTAATGAAAACAAAAGTGGGAACACCATTCTGTAAATTGCAATTACTACAGCTTTTAAAAATGAATGCAGGTGCTGTAAGTTTGTGCATGCTCTATTCTTGTTAGAAGCTGCTGTGTCGACCATCCTACAACAGAAAAGGTCTGTTTAAGTTCTCTGAGCACAGAAGTATAAGTAAATATTTCAACCCTGCTGAGAGGGGCTACAGTGTGGTTCCTGTTGACCGGCATTCCAATTCTCCTATGTCATTCGATTGTAATTCACAACCATTTTAAAAGGGTTATATAATAGAAATTAAATTTGATATGTTATTAAAAAAAACATTCACTAATGGTTAGAAATCAGAACCGTCTCAGTTTTAAAGAATATTTAAAAATGTTTTTAATATTTAACCATCACTTTGATCAGAAATTACACACATTGAAAGTGTTGTTTTCTCAAGCGATATTTATATTTTACATGTATATATATATATATATATATATATATATATATATATATATATATATATATATATATATATATATATATATTTCACATCATGACTTATATTTATCTTGTTCTTGATAGACACTTTGCTTTGGTAAAAATGCATGTTCAGTGTCAAGTTGGTCATAATTGTTGATCATGATGGAAACAATGCCACAAACGGGGGGACTGATATTATTTTGTGTTAAAGTTAATTAAATGATAATTGATGATGTAATAGCAATGTAATAATATTGATGGATATTGACAGACCCAGACTTTCAAAAAATGTAATCCCCTTGGAATTAAAAGCTCCCATAATTGAAGAAACACCCTGTCACTGAGTCAGTGCGGAAGGGGCTTATCCCACATGCACGTCTCTCTGAAGAAAGCTGAAAAACAGCAGCCACATTACTCCCCTTTAATTCATTTCATCTCCCCCTCTATGATCCTGCTAGCCTTTCATCATTTGCATTTTTCTCAACATTATCTGTTCAATTGACTTATTTAATCCTCAAATTCCTGACTCCAGTCAAAAAGTGATGAAAGAAAGGCAAAGACAGGCAGAAAAACAAAGAGAGGTCATTACAGAAGAGCCGGCTGTCTGTCTCAGTTTTGTTATCTGTTTGCTTGGTCCTGAACTGGCCCCTATCATGCATCTCATAACAGGAATACTTTGGCTTTTGTCAAATTAATCTTATAAACATGCACATATGCACTCAAGTACACATTTAGTGCTGAAATACCTCACTAAAGAGGAAAAATCTGTTGCTCAGATGTTGGTTTTTCATAGCTCAGGAAACATAATTCGGTAACAATTTAGTTTTGGGTCCAATTCTCACTATTAATTAGATACTTATTAGCATGCATATTGGTTGTTTATTAGTACTTATAAAGCACATATTAATGCCTTATTCTGCATGACTATATTTTAGATCCCTTAATCTTAACTCATACCTAAACTTAACAACTACTAACTATTAATTAGGAGTTTACTGAGGCAAAACTCATAGTTACTGTAATAGACACGTGATAGTGAGAATTTCACAATATTTGTCTGTAGAGTAGTGAAAAATAAACCATTTATGTTGGAGAGAGATGACAATGCAATGCAAAAATCAAACCTCCTTTACTTTCTCTTACACTTCCTCTGCTCTCACCCACAGACATAGAGTCTGTGAATGAAATGGAAATAAAGAGGAAGAAACAAGTGCAGAAGGAGGCTGGTAAGACGAGGAACGAAACAGTGTATTGGAGTTTGTAATGTAGATAGACAGTGTGAAAGTAATTCTTCCCTCCTGCCATAGATACTCTCCGCCCCTTCACTCAATAGTCCCTCCCCCTCATGCTTACTGGCTCATTTCAGATATCTGGGTCACTCCCAGCCCTCCCCTCCTTATATTTATACAAACCAAACAGACAGAACTCCGCTGCAGCACTCTTCGTCTCTTCTTCTCCTTCCCTCCCTCTCTCTCTCTGCTACAGGTGTGAGAAGACCTACACCAGTCCCTCCAAGCCGTGTCCAGACCTCCATTTCATAGCATTGATAATATCACATAATACTGACCTGACATCATCTAGAGCATTACGCACATGTACACTTACACACCAACTTCTGTTGTGTCCTAAGACTCGTGGGCCCAGTCATCATCACCTGAATAGACACTGTAAGTTTTCATGAAGTGACATTCAAGGAAAGGCAGGATGAATTTTGACAAAGTCCTGGACCGGATTGGAGGGTTTGGACGCTTCCAGAAGACCCTTTATGTATGGATCTGCCTGCCACAGATCTTCTTGGCCTTCCACATGTTGGTGTCTGTCTTCACTGGGGCTGTACCCCCTCACCTGTGCAGATCCGCCTGGCCAGCGGGCGACAGTGGTGGCACCGGGTTGGGCTTCAACTTCAGCATTGCTCCTGGGGAGTCCTGCACGTCCTTTCAGGATGGCCCTCTGTCCCAGCTTAATCACAGTCTACCAATTACTGAGCACTTGTCCACCTCAAACGGCTGCACGGGAGGATGGGAATTCAGCAAGGAAGTCTTTCTCAGCACTGTTGTCACAGAGGTGAGTGCTAATCTCAAAACATTGCATGTTGTATGACAGGATGTGGTAGTTTTGTGATGTAACAAGTCAGAGCGGGGCTCTTTCTTACCACGTCTTTCTGGTGCTATCGGAGCCAGTCATGTATTGTGGTTTATATGATTTGGGTGCTGACTGCATTGAGAATTTCTGGCCTCCCGTGTTGAAGGCATCTCAGACGGCTTTATTAAAGAGGCATAGCTCACAGGGCTGCAGGACGGCTGCATTTCTTTTGCGACATGTGACCAGAGAGATGGGTTGCTCACAGCAGGACATCCAGGCAGAATCTGTTTTGATTTTCAAACGCTGGATCTTTGCCCAGCTCCACATCGGGGGTTGACTATCTGACACTGCTCTCTGTTGTCCAGCTGTTGGGCTGAGGTGGAAGAAAGTGTGGTGATAAGGGGGGGGGGGGTTGAAACAAACTACTTCCTACCATAGGTATTTTTGTGGTGAGAGTTAATTCTAAAATGTGATACTGAAATGATTATGTACACTCGGGTTGTCGAAAACAGGTTGTCACTATGGCAGTACTTTCAAAGGGAAGTTTTTATAATATATAATAGCTCATTTATATATGTAAAAACTCTGCAGGACAGTGGCCCTCCAGGAACAAGTTAGGACACCCCTGGTCTAGATGGATGATCGGCAGGCTACTGTACCAGCTGGTGTACTGTTTTTGGAGATATAGGCCATTATTTTTACCTTGTGATCTTATCTTACAGTGGGATCTTGTGTGTGAAAATGCCACTTTGAACAACATTGGATCTTCTATCTATATGTTTGGGCTGCTGGTTGGAGCAGTTCTGTTTGGTGCCCTTGCTGATAAGTAAGTAGAAGAATCTCAAGGTAACTTTAAATGCATACAATCGCTCTCACACATCCAAAACCTTTAGGGGGGGGGGGGGTTGAAAGAAACTACTTCCTACCATAGGTATTTTTGTGGTGAGAGTTAATTCTAAAATGTGATACTGAAATGATTATGTACACTCGGGTTGTCGAAAACAGGTTGTCACTATGGCAGTACTTTCAAAGGGAAGTTTTTATAATATATAATAGCTCATTTATGTATGTAAAAACTCTGCAGGACAGTGGCCCTCCAGGAACAAGTTAGGACACCCCTGGTCTAGATGGATGATCGGCAGGCTACTGTACCAGCTGGTGTACTGTTTTTGGAGATATAGGCCATCTTGACCAAGCTGGTTAGGATTGACAACAACCAGCCATAATGTTCCACAAACTATCTTGATTGACCTAGTTATGATGTATAACACTGATTTATTACACTCGGGTTGTCGAAAACAGGTTGTCACTATGGCAGTACTTTCAAAGGGAAGTTTTTATAATATATAATAGCTCATTTATGTATGTAAAAACTCTGCAGGACAGTGGCCCTCCAGGAACAAGTTAGGACACCCCTGGTCTAGATGGATGATCGGCAGGCTACTGTACCAGCTGGTGTACTGTTTTTGGAGATATAGGCCATTATTTTTACCTTGTGATCTTATCTTACAGTGGGATCTTGTGTGTGAAAATGCCACTTTGAACAACATTGGATCTTCTATCTATATGTTTGGGCTGCTGGTTGGAGCAGTTCTGTTTGGTGCCCTTGCTGATAAGTAAGTAGAAGAATCTCAAGGTAACTTTAAATGCATACAATCGCTCTCACACATCCAAAACCTTTTCCAATCTAGTGGAAAAACTGGAATCTGAAATTCAAGTATTGATATCAGGTTAGAAACCATTCTGATTAGATGATTTGTGAACTGTGCGCGCCTGGACAAGAGCTTAAATGCCAGGACGTTTTGGATATTTTACATCAACAGTTCTCGGAAAAAACTCTGCACACACCCGTTCAGCAAGCTGACAAATGTGACTCTGTCTATGTGAATTCAGTTCATACTCTCATACTTTTGAGACAGCTGGGAAGGCTTCTGTTCTTCTTCTATTTAAGTTGTCCTGGCTTTATTTACTGATATTTATAGGGAGAAGTTGTGATTTGACTAGTAATGTCTTGTGCTATAGCCAAATCAGAAGGTTTCTGCAGTATTGGAAATGTAGTGGTTTTAGAGAGCGGATCTAATAACCAGCACATGTTCACTTTTCAGAGTTGAACAGACAATAGCAGTACTGTGGTATGAAAAAATAACTGCTGAATGAACTGAAGGGAAAATGTGGGATGGAATGCTCTAAAATACTGGAAAGACTTCAGATGTTTACATGAGACTGTGCACCATCTACTGTATGTGGTTCTCAACAGGCTTAGCTTCAGGACCCAGATTATACATTGGATCCAATATAGTACTAAAATTGTTTATTGCTTAAAATGGAACTTTAATGGTTTCGTGCTCTTGGCAGCCAACAATTCACCACACAAACAATATTGTGGTTGGCACAAATCATGCTCATATCCTCAATGCAAGTAAACATATTTTAATATACTCTGGGTCATATGATTTTATGTCAAAATCTTATAAGTACTCCTTGTAGCACAAGGCACATTTGTGCATGTGCACATTAACAACATCCAGTCTGCCATGAATATCTTCTACATCAGTATGTTGCAGTCTGCATCGAGCACCCTCTCAAATATTAGGGAGTTTGATTGGATGCATGGCCTTTGAAGATGATAAGATTTAAGATGTTGCTGTTTGCATTTTTACATGTGGCAGGCTATTTTACTTAAAGCAACATTGCATCCAGGAGGTATCGATTAGATCAGTCCAGTCATTACCTGGGAATCAAACTCATGACTTTTGTCTTACTAGCACCATTGTCAGGAACCATTTTAGAGCAGACCAGTCCAGTAAAACCCTTCTGAAAAAGATTACTTTTTATGGAAATAATACAAAAAGAAAAAATTACTACAGTGTGAAGCAATTTAATAGTTCTTTTTTGACCTACTTAAGTTGGACTTACCAAAGAGTCCAACTTAAGTATACATTTTTATATATAATTTCATAATTATATTGTCTTTAAAATATAATTTAACATCATCATTCCACTGAAACGTGAATGCCATTTGGTGAAATATATCTTTAATTACATATTTGTTAAGATCAGTCAAGATGCATTTTTTTTAAATATACAGTAATTATTTTATAGATCTGTTATATATATATATATATATATAATTTTTTATTTTTTTTAAAGATCTGAAGTACACTACAAGTACACAATCAATAATTGTTTTTCACAAGAGTAGACCCATGCAAACCTCTTTTCTAGATAACAAATTACTAACTGAGCTTAATCACACAGTAGTGTATCTCTGAAATGACCTACGGTTTGATGCTGCTTCAGGTATGGCCGCAGAATGATCATATTGATTGGTTTAGCAGCTTGTATAAAACTTGTTTTCAAAGAGGAATTATAGCGTCTGTCACGTCACTCCTCCTAGGCTTCAGACACTGTCCACTGGCAAAGACACATGGGGTTAGATTTATCTGTGAAACCCAGCTGAAATTTTTTTAAAGGGATAGTTCATCCAAAAACGTATTATCGTTCATCATATTGTTGTCATTTTCAAACCCTCCCCCTTCTGTGGAGCACAGAAAAAAACAACACAAAAGCATCTTGCATACCTGAGATTTTCAAACAATTCTTGGAGCCTCCCAGCACTGTACAGCTTGGATCTCTCTTATTTATCACGGCTAAATTACCTCATGGGCTGATTAGTAGGGTACTCCATGACCTGAGTTGGTTGTGAAACATCCAAAAAGTGCAGTTGTGATGTAACAAGTAGCAACAGATCTTTTCTTTTGTATTGTGTATCTGAGCGAAACAGATTATTGAAAAGGTTATTACAAAGTGCTGCTATATGTCTTCAAAGCTTTACATGGCTTAGCACCAGAGTATGTTTCTGATTTAATCAGTCTGCATCAATCTAATAGGTCTCTGCATTCAATTGATCAGTTAATCCTTGTGGTTCCTCGATCTCACTTAAAATGCAAAGGTGATTGGCTTTTTTAAGTGCGCTGAAAACTCATCTGTTTTTAGCTTTTGAAAATGCTTTGTAAGTTGTTGTTTGTTGTGTGGTATGTCTTAGTTTTATTCTATTATTTATTCTTCCTATACAGCACTTTGGTTCCACATTGTGGTGTTGCAAGTGTTTTAGAAATAATGTTTGAGTTGATTTGTTGATTGGATGAAGGCAGATCTGAATGCTAGCTTGAGTCAAAGGACGCATTTGAATTTGAGGACGCGAGTTTAGAATGATGAGTAGGAATATAGTGAACCAATGACTACTTATTTGAAACTATAATAGTGCATTTGTGTCCTTTTTGTGTTTTGTGAAAGTCCACGTTCATTGTAATTGAACAGAAGATTAATGAGTACATTGAGTACTTGTGCCCCATGGAAAAAGGTTATACAGGTTTAGAACAACATGACTATTCAGAGAATTTTCACTTTTGGGTGAACTTACACATTAAGTTAGTAACTGTGTTTTACTAGCTGGTCAGTTAGCTGGTTTAAAATGTTGACCACCATTTGATCAGGTAATTTAGCAAGTCAGCACCCAAAGCCAATTGGACCAGTGTATATTTATCATCTTGGACCAACACGAAACATGTTAAAAGATTTGCAGTTTTACATGTTGTAAAACAGTTACCACATCGAACTAAATTTTCCAGTAGGGCTATGCAGATGTATTTGCATTTTATCTTGAATGTAACTGAGTTACAGCTCTCTTCAGAAATAAATATTCAAATTAGTCTCAATCTCCAACTTGTACTAAGAATACTTGAAATGGGTTTCTCTTGTTTTACAGAGCTCTAAAATCTCAGAGAAACTTCAAGACCTGAGGAAGTACACTGTCATCGATTTGGTTCGAACACCCAGAATGAGGACACAGTCCCTCATTCTCTTCTACTTGTGGTAAAAATGCACAGTTAACATGCAAATAACCCAACTTGAATTCAAAATGAATGATATAACAGTTGGACTATATGAACCATTGTTCAAAATTCAGGTCTAGAATTATCTGTTTAAAAATGAAAAAAGAAGAAAATTGATGAATTTGTAGTTACATTAATGAGAAAAGGAGTGATGTGTAAGAAGCGAAAGTAAGCAATTAAGAGAGCTATCAATATCATCTTGTCTTCACTAGACCTGCAAATCATGTTATGAATTTGCGATTTATGAACTGAAGGGATGACTCTGAAACTCTCAGTCTGAAGACTTTTTTAGTTTAGTTTAGTTTAGCTTAGTTTAGTTTAGTTTAGTTTAGTTTGTTTTTCTCAGAGGTAAAAGGTCCAATTACATGACTACCTTCAGATGGTGGATCAGCACCTAGAGAGAACCTCTACAGCCCTGAAAGTCAGAAGACAAGGACAACTAGATGAGCCCCAGATACAGATCCCCAGTAAAGACCTTGTCTCTGACGGCCACCGGGACAAGACCACAGGAGCCAGTTGAGTCCTCTGCACAATGTGAATTTGATGCAGCCTGGAATTGAACTGCTGGTTTCGTCTGGCCAGAGGAGAACTGGCCCCCCGACTGAGCCTGGCATTATTGACACACTATTTTCCTAATTAATGCTGAACAGTTGCTTTGACACAATCTGTATTGTTAAAAGCGCTATATAAATAAAGGTGACTTGACTTGACTTGACTACATCTAAATAAACAAATCACAAATTTCAGTAGAATGACCATCATATCAAAACACTAGTCATTTTTGATCACAAAAGCTGTAGCATAAATTTTTGGGCTTTTTTTCAGTTATATTTTCCAGCATTTCTTGCTGTGGCTCTCATTTCCCTTAAGTTTTGCATGTTTCCTTTTTATGTTTCATAATAACTTTTCCTATAGTTCTGAGGTTGGGCCATTCCTATATTCACAATTTTCATGTTATATATTTTTTTAACTTATAGAGTTCTAAGCTTCACAGTGTTAAACAGGAAAATAGTTTGTCAATAATGCAAGAGGACATTAACAAACAGTCAATCTTTCAGTTCATGTTATATATTTTTTTAACTTATAGAGTTCTAAGCTTCACAGTGTTAAACAGGAAAATAGTTTGTCAATAATGCAAGAGAGAGAGAGAGAGAGAGGGAGAGAAAAAAAAAAACTTTGGATGGGTAAATGCAGAGCACTAATTCTGAGTATGGGTCACCATACTTGGCCACATGTCACTTCACTTCACTAAAGTCAGCTCATAGATGATTCATCATCCAGTTCAGCTCTCTTCCAATAGTGTCTGTGCAATCAGTCAAGCGTCCCCAACTAAGCAAGCCAAAGGCGACAGTGGTAAGGAAGCAAAACTCCATCGGTAACAGAAATGGAGAAAAAAAGCTTGGAAGAAACCATGCAGGCTCAGTTTAGGGGGACCAGTTCTCCTCTGGCCATGCCTGGTTTAATTCCAGGCTGCAACACAGGTCAGATTGTGCAGAGGAGGACGTGTCTGGTTCCCGTGGTCTTGTCCTGAAGGCTGTTTAGTTGATGAGGTCTGCACAGAAGATCTGTCTTTGGGGTGCATCTAGTAGTCATCTCTAGGTGCTGATCCACCATCTGATCTGGTCCCCAACTAAGCAAGCCAAAGGCGACAGTGGTAAGGAAGCAAAACTCCATCGGTAACAGAAATGGAGAAAAAAAGCTTGGAAGAAACCATGCAGGCTCAGTTTAGGGGGACCAGTTCTCCTCTGGCCAGACGAAACCAGCATGCCTGGTTTAATTCCAGGCTGCAACACAGGTCAGATTGTGCAGAGGAGGACGTGTCTGGTTCCCGTGGTCTTGTCCTGAAGGCTGTTTAGTTGATGAGGTCTGCACAGAAGATCTGTCTTTGGGGTGCATCTAGTAGTCATCTCTAGGTGCTCATCCACCATCTGATCTGGAAACGGACTGCATCTGGGTGGCTACGGTGACCACGGAATAAGAATGAAACAGGCTAATATTAGTCTGCCATTAGATATTAGTCTGCCATTAGATGCCATTCTTCTTACGAGTACATCGAGTGTTATGTTAAGTGTTCCTTGTTCCGGTTGACCTTATTAATGCAGCCTAACAATTCTTGTGTGTGTCTGCCTCCCAAACAATGCTAGGTAGATTGTTCCAGGGTTTGGGTGCTAAATAGGAAAAGGATCTGCCGCCCACAGTTGATTTTGATATTCTAGGTATTATCAAATGGCCAGAGTTTTGAGATCGCAGCGGACATGAAGAACTATTATGTGAAATGAGCTTGCTCAAGTACTGAGGAGCTAAACCATTCAGGGCTTTATAAGTAATTAGCAAGATTTAAAAATGTATACGATGTTCATAGGAAGCCAGTGCAGAGTTGACAGAACCTGGCTAATATGTTCGTACTTCCTGGTTCTAGTAAGAACTCTAGCTGCTGCATTTTAGACCAGCTGGAGTTTGTTTATTAAGTGCAGAGCAACCGCCCAATAAGGTATTACAATAATCTAACCTTGAGGTCATGAAAGCATGAATTAACATTTCTACATTTGACATTGAGAGCATAGGTCGTAATTTAGATATATTTTAAGATTGAAAAATGCAGTTTTACAAATGCTAGAAACATGATTTTCAAAGGAAAGATTGGTATCAAATAGCACACCTAACTGATGTCAGGGAATTGACAGAGCAGTTTTCACGTGTTAGACAATGGTTATTACTTGTGTAGGTCATTACCTGAGTTTTTTGGTCCAATAATTAACACCTCTGTTTTTTTTCAGAATTTAGCAGTAGGAAATTACTTGTCATCCAGTTTTTTTATATCAACTATGCATTCCGTTAGTTTTGCAAATGTTTAATCGGGTAGCTAAGAAATATAGAGCTGAGTATCATCAGCATACCAGTAAAAGCTAACACCATGTTTTCTGATGATATCTCCCAAGGGTAACATGTAAAGTGTGAAAAGCAGCTGTCCTAGTACTGAGCCGTTTGGTACTCCATACTGTATTATGATCGATATGATACCTCTTCATTCACTGCTATGAATTGATGACTGTCAGATAAGTAAGATTTGAACCATGCCAATGCTATTTCACTAATGCCAACATAATTTTGTAATTTTGTTTTTGTACTGAAAAGAATGTTGTGGTCGATAGCAGCACTTAGATCCAGTAGCACTAATAGAGAAATACAACCACGATCGGATGATAAGAGCAGGTCATTTTTAACTCTGATGAGAGTAGTCTCAGTACTATGATACGCTCTAAATCCTGACTGGAAATCCTCAAATACCATTTCTCTCTGAGAAGGAACATAGCTGAGAGGATACTGTCTTTTTTCTAGTATTTTTGACAGAAAAGGGAGATTTGAGATCAGCCTGTAATTAACTAATTCTCTAGGATCAAGTTGTGATTTTTTTATGAGAGCCTTAATAACAGCCAGTTTGAAGGATTTTGGGACATATCTTAAAGACATTTATTGAATTAATAATATTCAGATGAGGATATATGACTTCTGGAAACACCTCTTTTAGTAGCTTAGATGGAATAGGGTCTAACATAGATGTTGTTGGTTTTGATGAAGTTTATACAATTCTTCCTGTCAGCAGAGAATGAGTGGAATTGTTCCTTAGGGGATCTATAGTGCATCTGATTCGATACTGTGGCTGAAGGCTGCATGGTTAGAATTTTATCTCTAATAGTATCGATCTTGGAAGTAAAGAAGTTCATAAAGTCATTACTGCTGTTCTGTTGGGAAATGTCTGCGCCTGTTGATGTTTTATCTTTCGTTAATTTGGCCACTGTGTTGAATAAAAAAAGATTTCATCACTCTGCTACAGAATTTCAACGCCATTAACATCAATTCCATGTGAAAGTATTACATCTAAAGTATGATTACGACAATGAGTAGGTTCTGACATGTGTTGTCTGACCCAAATAGAATTCAGAATGTAAATGCTGATCCCAATGCATGCATTTTTCATTGTCAACATGAATATTAAAATGACCAACAATTAAGACTTTATCTGCAGCCATCACTAACTCATCAAAATCAGCAAATTCTTTGATAAAGTCTGAATGGTGCCCTGGTGGCCTGTATACAGTAGCCAGAATTGACGTCACAGTGGATTTATCATTAACACTTATTTCTCTAGATAATGTTATATGAAGCACCATTACTTCAAACGAATTATACTTGAAACCAGAGCTCTCAGAAATACTGAATTACTGTAAATTGTGTAGATATTACACAAAAATGACATTTGATTTTGTTACAGGTTTGTGAATGTCCTGGTGTACTATGGGCTGTCACTCAATATTTCAGACTTTGGAATGAATATCTACCTGACACAGATGATCTTTGGCTTGGTGGAAATGCCAGCACGTACCATTACTCTCTTCACCCTAAACCGCTCACGCAGAATATCCCAGTTAGCATTCTTGGCAGTAGGCGGCCTGGCCTGTCTTCTTACCATATTCATTCCAGATGGTAGGTGAAAAACACAAACTTTTATTTAACTAGAGTAGGTAGAGTAGCAGAGTAGATTAGGGCAGTTTATTATAATCGATCTAATTTTGTGTTAGTTGTTTCAATCTTACCAAGTTGGTATTCTTCTGAAAAATTTAGTTACAGACATTATGCCTTTGACGTTAGTGTTCCCTAGTTTGAGTTCAGCAAGTTTTAGAGAACAATGCAGAGCTTTTTTTTCCCCAGCCAAGAATCACCTTTTCTGTAGAAGTAGATTGGCCACCAGCTTTAGCACACTGTTGGTGGAAAAGTAGAATGAAAGAAGTGCATCAACATATTCAAAGACTGTAGAATACCCAAGACGTGTCACTTGTATAGTTTTGAATGGGGGGAAAATGCAACGCTCAATATAGCTGCTCTATTGAAGGAAGCCCCGCCTTCTGAGTAAAAGAGCCAATTGCTATTCGGTAAAGTCATTGCATCACTGCAGCTGCTGTTAGAAGTCCCGGTTGCTATAGAAACAGTCCGCTTTCTGGAGGACTCTGCAGCATTTAGGCTTAGTACTGCGCATACGCATTTGCTGGTCTAGCCTGAAACATACACTTTTTTTAACGCTATTGGAGCATATGAAACAACATTTATGAGACAGTTGTTGTCAGATTTCATTGGTGATTTCAAATATGAAATTTAATCATAAGCTTGGCAAACAGTTTTGGAGAATTTGATGTTTCCCTGTTCAAAGAGATAGGAGCTGCACTTGCATGCCCGAGAGGCGTTTCAAAGATGGCCGAAGAGTGACATGACTTAGAGGGACTTTGACATATTTTACTAGGTACTTTAATATACTCTATCAAGAAATTCACAGTTTTTGAAACAGAAAGGAAACATACAGAAACCCCAAAGATGTTGGCATGTAATGTAAAAGTGTACCATTGGTTTTACTTGATACATAATAATAATTCCATCCAATAAACTTACTACAGGCTCCATTTCATGTAATGATGTCATAGCTCCTGAGTGTTCATGCCATTGTTTACTTCTGTTGATGGGGCAGAAGCCTGGAGAATCCAGAGCCACATTTAAAAACCTTGACTTACGCAAACTGTTTACATGTCACTAATTTGAAAACAAAAAAGAGATGGCAAGATTGGTGTGTGCCACCCTCTCTTCAGGCAATTGGGAAACAAAACCAGAGACTC